CCCCCCCCCCCCAAAAAAAAAAAACCCAACAAAAAACAACAGAAAACAGAGCAGCACACACTTGGGCAGTGCGGAGAACACCGTGTGGTATATGGCACTGCAAACATGTTTGCAGAGTCATGTGCCACATGACCGCACTCATCTGCCATTGGCAGACTCCAGGTGGCCCTCTTAGACTCAAGGCGCCCCTCAGAAAATGCCAGCCCTCAGCTTTCACTTGTTCCATAACAAGGGAAAAATAACAGAGTGATTCTTCTCTGGCAAAGACAGCAGAAAGCCCACAGCAGCTCAGAGTGGTTCTGACTCCAGGGATTCCTGTTTGAAGTCTCTGGGTCTCTCTCGTCAATTGCGTGTAGGTCTTTGCACACTTGGCAATGCCAATATTGTGGGGTGCCGTTAAAAGAGTCCTGCAGCTCCTGTGACATCCTGGTGGAGGATCCCTAACTTTGAATGTTCTTGGTTTTGTTGGTGCTTTGTGGCTCCAGGGTGCCAGAAGGGCTGAAGGGGACAATTATTAGGGCTTTAGAGACAAAGCTGCTTGGGAACATAGGGCACTAGATTTCAGGGCACAAAGAGTCACTTCCTGGTCTCCCTGTCTATGTAAGAAATGAGGATGAGTAAGGAGCACATTGGTCTGGGCTGGCTTTGGTTGTGGTGCATGCCACTGCCCCAGGAGGAGATAACTTCAGCAAGCTGGGGTTTGGATAAAGTGTGATGGAGTGAAGGAAGGAGAAGCAAGGATTCACGTGTGTGTCAGAGTATCACTTCAGGGGTTCGGCCCAATCCCCAGCTGATGTAAGTTAATGTAGCTCCATTGATTTCTTTGGAGCTGTGCAGTTTAGATCAGTAGTACTCCACCTTTTGGCCCCATGGTGCCTTGGACCCCACATCCCAGGCTGCCTTGGACCCCACACCCCAGGATCAGGCTCTGGGGGTCCTGTGCTGCCTTTGCCCCCAAGACCCTGTGCTGCCTCTGTCTGTTGGAATTGGGACCCATACACTGCTGCCCTGCCACACATGCTGGGATCAGGCTCCGTGCTGCCCTACATGCCCAATCTAACATGTAGGGCCATGGCTCACAAGAATATGCACAGGTTTGTGGGGAGCCCCATGGGCCAGATGACACGGTGCTGGTGACCAGCTCTGGTCTGTGATCACCCCTGCTTTAGACCAAATGCATATGTGACTCATCAAAGAGTTCTGTCACTAGACTTATTGCCAAACAAGCAATCAGCACTGAGAAACTGGGGTGCTTGTAATACTTCTATTTCTTTGCAAAAAAGGAAACCGGCTTAGGAACCAGGTCACACGTGGTTTTTCTCAAGCTCCAAACAGGTCTGGAAAATGCTCTTTTTTAAGCCTTGATCATCCTGGGTGGGAAATTTTTTCAGTACTAATAAATGAGATAGAAGAAAACTGGCTTGACTTTTAAGTCACAAATTGAGTTTTCAGGATGGACAGTAGCAAGTGCAGCACAAGGCTCTGCCAAAGTGGGAGGGTGGTGCCAGAACAGAGCTTAGGGGTGGGGGTGGGGACGAATGGGAATGAAACACCTCACTCTCCCATCCCCCGTCTCCACCCCTCACAACCTGCATATTTCCTGTAGCAACTCTGGCAGCTGGGAGGACAGAGAAGCAGTGGCAGTGCATGATGTGGGAGCCAGGTTTGCTGCTGTGAGGGTGGAGATGTCACTTCCTTTTTTGCTGCCAAAATGAGTATTTAAACAGCTGCTCAGCACACATCTGGGCCAAAAAAAGAAGGTGGTATTCCTCCCTGCAGCCATGAACGTCTGGTCACTGCTCCTGCACCATGCTCTCCCATCTCCCACGGCACATTACTGGCTAGTTATGCCTTTGCAGATGGACAGTAAATACCTTTTACCTGTAAATGAAGCAAATTTGTTTAAGAGTTGTGGGGATATAATGAAGATGCAACTACATATTTTCAGAACACAGACACATTTTACATGCTTTTTTTTTACTGGGATTATCTTTGTATGTATGAATGGGTATATTTTAACTGACAAATAGCTAGTTAAAGGCCACTTAAATAATTTCTGCTGCGTTACATGCAAACAAATCAACTGTGCTTTTATAAAACCTAATATTAAAATTTAGCATAATCATAAAAATAGAGTGGAAGAGCAAGCCAAGCAAGACCTGGCACAGACTCAGATGCCGCAGAGTAGGGGGCTGTATCATTCAGGTTTTAAAAATAAACATGTTAATATTGCTATAAAGTCACCAAAACTAAAAATGGAAAAGTGAATTAAATCCAAAAGCTGCATTATTACATCAACTGAGCACAGTGACTTACTATTTGTATAGTCAATGCGTGGCTCTACCAACAGGTGGTAAGAGCATCGTTTCCCTGGGAAACCTCTTCCTCCCCATGAGTTCAGACACTCTTTATAACTACAAGTTGCTAAGGGGCAATGTAGCACCAGGACACCAACATGTTGATACTAACAGGTATTGAGTTTACCAGTGGGGAACAGCTGTTTTGGCAGGTCTGCCACAAAGTACGGTAGTCCTGAACCATCCCTAAGTGCCACTCTTATCACTGTCCTCTACCCAATCTGCTGTTCTGCTTTCTCTTCCCTGCCCTGTGCTCTCAGCCTGATCTGCAGCTCTGCTTTCTACATTATTTGCTGCTGAGCTTACCGACCCGTCATCACCCTGCTGCGTACGATGCGCAGAGTCTGTCTGTCACTTGTGGCATCTGTGCTGCAAGTTGGCCACCCCTTCCAAGAGGCTGCAGATGAAATTGGTGCTCTGGTGCGCTAGTCACTGTACAATTGCATTT